AAAAGGAAAATTTGGTAAGAATACCCTAAATTAAAACAGCATTACGATAAGCATAATTCACATCTGCATGTATATGTACTTACCTGTTGTTACCCATTGCCTTGTCAGGTACTGTGTATATGAACAGCACAAATATATTCAATATGATTGTCAACAGCATCAACAAACGAGAACGGACAGTACTAGATAATAAAATATCAAATCAATATCAATATCAATAAATATCAATGCAATGACAGACTATAAATATTAACTTACGGATAAGCAAGGAATGGCTTCATTACTTTAGTTTCCTTCAACTTTGTCTATTTAAAAAAGCTAAGTAAACTTTATTCAAAACATACACATAAACTGTAAATAATATTTCTCTAATTAACTGGTGCATAATTCATAAAAAATATGTGTACATCTTGTACCTGATGAAGTACATCTTTTTTAAGTGCTGGCATTAAGTCAACAAGAGCCCTTTGTTTATCCTCCATTGAGTCTCTGTTAATATTCCAACGTACTAGCTCAGTTGCTACCTCTCTTAGCTTTGCTTTAAAAGGAAAGTGTACTCTAGCAATTATTGGCTTGGCTCCATCTTCTTCATAGTGTATCTCAATGGAATGGGAGCATTCTATACAGCTATTAAGTGCTTCTTTACATGATTGTGCCTCTGCTCTCTTCATCAATTTTGCTAAAATAATTTATGCCACAATAAACTTCGTGAAACATTTCCTTACTTTCATTTTTGATGTCAATTGCTTTATATTCCATTAGAGTTATAAGAACTTGATAAGCTTTGTTTCGTCCTCTCTCACAATCATCATCCATTTTCTCTTCCTTGATTAATGGAAGTGATTGTAACTCGTGAAACATTTTCATAGTAAGCAACACAGAATTAACATCCAGTGATGATCCAATACCCTATTTGTAAAAGTGATGCAACAATTTTCAAAATTTTAATACGTGAAAAATTTAATAAATATGAATCTCTCAAGGCCACAATGTGCGTGCATTACTACAGCATCAATTTAATTACAATGTAGTATACATGTAGCTGGAAACTTTCAAGGGACTTAGATTTTGCTGATTCAGGGTTTTCTTTTGAGATTCACAAAATTAAAACCCTTAAAAATCTTAATAATACCATAGATAATAGAGTAAATGAAAGGGATTGGAAATGGAAGCGTGGGCGTGGACAAACCTCCATTCATTTGTATTGTTGCTAAGTAAACAGAGGAGGGTTGGGATTTTTTGACCAATTTTGGAGTAAAAAACTGGGATTTTCTTGCTTTATTCTTGAATAACTCCAAGAGAATACAATTCATGTCAAAAAAACTCACACACAATACTAACCAATGTTTATGCTTTTAATTAATATTTTTTGTTTAGTAAATCAATGCATGCGTTAGTAGCTGCGTCACTCTTTAACTAGAAATATCATCTTTTCCCCCTCTGAGAGACTCATTTTGTTCTTGAGCTACGAATAAGTATAACCAATTTAAAGAGCTTGCAATATCCTATGGAATGAGTTAATTTGCATATTGATACACTGAAGCTTGAGTGTTTTACGAATGTTGAAGTGTTTAAAAAACAAGCGACTTTGTGTACCTCTAACTGGTTGCAAAATGGCTTTTTGGAGATAAAAAACTTGCTGCAGGTAGCTCTATGAATTCTATGTGGAATAGGCTATATATCAAAAGCAAGCGCTATCCTGGAGCAGCACAAATTTCCTTCGAAATCCTGCCAGAGCAACTTCACCAATATAGGAGATGGGAAATCAATCAAAACACTGATGGTTGTCACGTGGTAACCCAACCCGCATTTCCTGTTGCTACGCCCCGTAGCCAATCCCTTTCATTTACTCTAATATCTATGATAATACGGTACAAAATCGGAGAATGCTTTCACTTATAAAAATTAAATCCACAAAAATTATTCTTGGGTTGATCCACAAAGTTATAATCAATTCCTCAAAAAATTTGAGATATGCGATAACACTTACTTTAGCAAGAGTGAGGGTTTGAGGACTAATTTCTTCAAGCATAACATCAAGTAGTTCAACAACACTGCCTTTCACTTCCACATATTTCTTAATCAGCTCAAAATCGTCAGACTAAAAAACAATTTGCAAAAACTCAATGAAGAATCACAAATATTATGCACCTCTTTAATGAGACAATCATCATGCTTCTTTAATTGAAGCTGTAATATCCTGTTAACAGGATCCATGACAAGCTTGTTAAATGCAACACCTTGGTTTCTAATATTACCAACACACAGCTCAATCAATGAGTGAATAACAGTGCTGATCTGCTCTAGATTATGTAATGAGAGATCTGTAGCAAATGTGTGGAGGAAGGCAACAACTTCAGCAACTACATTAGTTGTCTAAATAAAGAGTAACAATGTTAAATCACAATTTACATGTAAAAGAGTGTCTGTTCCTTACTCTATAGTTATCAAGCTGTTCTCTTAAATAATCTTGTAATGTCCTGTTCTGTCCATCACACATTAGGCCAATTACTTCAAGCACCAAATTAATCCACAAAGCATCATGATGGAGTATATCAGACAACAGTTTAAACTCGGTGTTTCTGTTCAATTCAGTTGCACTTTCCAAGCCTGATGAAGTTATTCCACTAGCCTACGTAAAAAAGAACAAATAATGATGCATGCACACCATGATCACTTCATCTTATCATCCCTTAGTATTTTTAATGTCTTTTTTACATGTGCTTAATTGATTTCTATTTGTACTTACTTTAGATCTTCTTATAGATCCAGTAGATAACAGTGGATCTTCATCTTCATGAGCACCAACTATAAGGCACATATATACATGCATTGAGTAATTTCTCTCTTTATAACATCCATTATATCTGTATCTCAACATTCTACATGTACATGTAAACGAATATTATAATTACCAATTTCTTCCATTGGTATTATCACATCTTTGCCTGATGTGTATGTAACAGCCTAATAATATATCAATATATTCCTTAACTAATAATATCATCAGAAATAATGAACTAACTGCTTCTAATTCAAAATCAAGGGATGCATGCTCCCCAGTAAGCCTTGCTGAAACAGAAGGACTAGCCTACATAAAGATTAAAAAAATAGGCTTTTCTCATTAATTATAACAATAGCTCACTAAAGAATAGTGCTGCAACTTCTTTCGTTTCTTTAATTGTGCCTGTAATTCCACACTGAGCAAAACCAAAGATAAAATCATTTTATGCATGTACAATTGGCATCTTACATTTCCTTGAAGTTAAGGCTCGCAACCTCCAGCCTCTTTTTAAAATTGAGAAACAATTTCTCTTCATGTGACAGCTTGACAGCTTTAACTAGTCCTTTCTGTACTTCCTTGTTGCCTGAGAAAAGAAGAGCCTTCATTAGAGCCAGGGCTTCCTTTGATATTCTCTCATTAGGATGCAAAAGTAAAGGTATGACCTACAAAATAATGATAATTCAATCATATTATTTATTTTAAAAAGTATTTCATAATAAATTATTATGCTATTAACATACACGACTGATAGCATTATTGAATGATTGAATAGATTCCTGGACTGGAACAACAGTATCTTTGCACTTCCTTTAAAATAAAAAAATATAAAAATAAAACTGTTATAATTTTTACTAACTTTCTGAATTCTTTAGGATCCCTCTCTTTTAACTCTGGATCAATATGCTTGATTTTATTATGTATCAGAGCTCTCAATATCTACAATAGCAGTGAGTTATGATATCAAACACAGATTTTCTACTAACCTGCAAACATCGTAAATCTAATTTGTCTTGATTTATTTGTTCAGCTTCACCTAGCTGATCAGATCGACTGACAGATATCCTAAGAGTACATGTACGTGCATATCATGTTCAATAAATTTTTAGTACAAATAACAATGAAATAAAAAATAAAAAATAATAGGACAAATAAAATACTCACTCTATTTGTTTCAATAACCTCTCAGCTGGATGCTTTTCAGAAGAGGATTTACTGTTAGTAAACAAATAAAAAATACATTATTATACACACAGTACATGTACATGTTGCACCAACTTACTCAATATGGTAAATTTTTATTAGTTCCTGAAAACTGGGTCCCATTGGTAATTCTTCACCTTCGTCACTATATTCTATTAAAAAAATTTAAATAAACAAAGTGAGATATTTTGTGACATGACAAAATTTTATATCAAAATTCCTGTAAATTGTCATTAAAATGGCTTTGCAGACTGTATTTTTGTAAAATTCTCACACCTTTTGATTTAATCAGGTCATTAATTTGTGTATCAAATTTTTGAAAATAAAATTTTATGCATTTTTTCAAATTTGCAAAATTAGCAGAAATTTTGGGCTACAGAAAGTTCTAGCTACATAGTAATAATTAAAATTATGTGCAAAATTACCAATTTTGCAGTGTACAGTAGATCCTATTTGGTGACTGGCAGTATTGGGCCCCATATATGAACAGTGATAGTGCTGAGAAAAACAGTTAAATAGTTTGTTTAATTTCTCTTGTTCTGCATACTCCTCTAGTAATTCTTCCTAAAAATGTAAAATAAAATATAAACAACAACAATAATATCAAACTCTTATTACATAAGCTTCTGAGTCAGTTTTCTCCAATCGCTTCAAGCTGGAAGACTTTTTTCTTGGTGCTCTTCCTCCAATAAATTCCATTGCATGAATTGATTGCTCTTTGGTGACAGTTGATTTCTCACGAATCTCAGAATAATTCATTAAAGCACTAATTGTTTCTTGAAACATGTAAACATGCTTGTCTGAGAAAAGAACAGCAGTCAAATCTTTACTCAAATCCTAATAAGATATAAAAGTTTATATTTAATAGAAAAGATAAGCAAAAATATCTCAATCAAAAATATCAATCATACCACAAGGCTTCTCAAAATATTTGCCGAAATGCTGCAATCATCAAGACGAGTTGCTGAAGGATCATAAAAATGAGAATAGAATGTATGCAGGAATGGGATAACCCCATCAGCTAGGTATTCCAATAAACCAGGAACAAGATGACCATGAGAATCTGTGTAAGAGTGATGATAAATTTTCCTTTTACTTTCAAGTTTTTTTATTAATTGCATGCACATATACATTACATACATATGTATTTTTTACTAATTGTTAAAGCTGTAATTTTTTAAATTTCATTCCACTTAAATTTGATGAAAAAAAAAAACAAAATAGTACATAAAAACCAGTAAACTACCATGTAAAATTTATGCGTTTCTATAAAATTTAGAGTACATGTTGTACATTACTTACCAGTAACATTAGGTATTTCAGCAATACCTATAGTTGGTACTGGCTCTGCAGCTAATGGGGTTGGTGGATAAGAAGACTGTGAGACTTTACGTCGTGAATTAGTCTGAAGTTCTTGTTTCAAAATTTTTATATCGCTTGATGAAGTACAACTAAGGACTTTAGAAATGTCCTCAAGGATATTAGCTAAATGCCTCAAATAAGTCCACATTAATCTAAAAGTACAAGAAAATACAGTGAACTCAATCAACTGATAATGGATTAACACACATTCCATGACTCAATGAATGTTGAGAATTGCTATTATCACCATCTGTATTCATATACACCATTGTAAGGAATCGAAGAAAAGGTCTTTTGCAATTTGGAGGAAGTTCACTGGAAATAATCCTATAAAATGAAAATGTGCATGTGCTTAATATTTTCATCTAATGATTACTGAAGTACATACTCAATTAGGTCATCAATTCCAAATATATTCTGACAAACTGATTCAATGAACAGATTCCCTCCTTCAGCACAAGCTGCCAACATGTCAGTCAAATTAAGTAACAGTTGAAGCCTAGGATCAGGACAAGATCCCTTACTCTATAAAAGTAATAGACATTATACACATAAAAAGTATACAAAAATCACAATACATTATTGTACAGTATTCAAGGACATTATCACATATGTATTATGCATCATTACTAACAGATTCCAATATTTCAATTCGAAGTGCATCAACTTCTGAACTCTCTCCTAACAAATCAGGACAAAATGTGTCTCTCAGTTTACAAAAATTCTTAATAATAGTAGCTTGATTCTGTCCTACTGGTAAGTCAACTTCTTCTATCTAAAGTTTAGAATATGCACCATAAACAGACTATTTGATCTTAACTCATCTGTTTACCTTAACAATAGCTTCTAATGCAACTACAAACTGAGCCTGAGCTATGGGATAGTTACAGGAAATTATTATCTCAAATATCTTCTCAATCTGATCTTCTTGAACTTTCATTATCAGTTCAGGACCTCCTGTGAAAACCTTAAAAAATAATTTGATAAATACATTATCATTTTACAATAAATAGACATAAGAATAATATTGTTTTAAAAAATTATAACTCTTGCAATTTTTAAAGTTCTATACATACGATATGCATGTAGATACTAGAAATTAATGAAGTTATGTACATGTATGTAAATTTTTGTCAAAATAGAAATGATACGAATAGAAATAGAATTTTCGTAAAAAATGATAAATTCCTTACTTCAGTGATTAAATCAGCTAAAAAGGACAATGTTGCATTTGGTAACTTCATTTGAAGCAAATCATCAAGTCTGTTAAATATTCTCTTCTTTACCTATTAATATAACAATACATGTACATGACACTTTTACAGGCAGCATTATGTCTAAAAAATACAATAAAAATAATTTTAGGCCCTATGCACTAAAAATCAATAAAGCATTGATGTGTTCAGATTCTCTTAAAACCAAGCCAGGTACATGTATAATGTACTGACAAAGACCATTTAGCATAAAAATGCTTGCACGTTTTTTTATACAGTAGACATTGATGAGAGACAATTTCCTACTTCCATAGGGTGGTCATTCAAAAGGGGGATTACTACATGTAGACTAGAATTGGTAGATCAAATCTCTATGTATACACATAAGGGCATTAATGTCATAAAATAGCTTTTGATGAGTTGCATGGTTTTTACTTTAGTTGAGCTTGTATGCCGGTCACTTTTCACTTCAAATGTACAATGTATAAGTATAAGTAGATGTACATGTTGCTGTATGTTCTTACATTCATATTATCAACAGAAAGATACTGCAAGAGAAGGAAACAATTATTGAACAAATCTTCACCAACAGAACCGGAACTTTCACCTACATGCATCATAAATAATTTAATGTGTCAGCATGTACAAACATACATGTACATTTACATGTAAATGTTACCTTGGGCTGCAGGCTTCAGCAGCATTCTGCCATCACTTTTTTCAAACAAAAAGCTCATAATATCAGAGACAATGCCTAAAATAAAATTGTTAAAATAGGGTAAGAAAGATAATTTTATATGACAAGTTCGTAATTACCAAAATTATCCAACATAATCTGGTTCTGCTTATTAGGTAAATGTGATGATGAAAAAACACATAAAGATTGTAGCTGCCTGAGTATTGACACAAGTTGCTCTTGATTAGATCCATTGGCATCAACACGTAATAACTGCCACAAAACAGGAAGAATTTTATTCTTAACTGTCTTATAGTCATTCAAAGACCTATCACACTTCAGTAACTGACTCTAATAAAATAAGTACAAAATAATATAGTTAAACATTTCAATAGAAAGCATTATTTAAAGTCAGGTATACATACAACATGTATAATGATAGCTAAATTTTTGAGGAATACCTGCTGTGCTTTACTAAATAGCTCCTCTTCAAAAAAATACATATGAGTCAACAGATTAAGAGATCCAGTAACCAATTCACCACATTCATACCCAGAGAGATCTAACAGAACTAATTCAAGTGAAAGGCCACCAGCATTTGGTGGAGCAAATCCTCCTCCTTTAGCATTACCACCACACAAATCATTAATATGTTCCTGAACAGCACTGAAAGAGCAAAAATAGTGATCAATTTACTATACTAATTATCAAGCCAGGCTACATTCAACACAACAGTCAAAAGTTCGTGGGTGATCTGACTTTTTGAGACAAAAATGCTTTGAAGTTGACACAAAATTGGCCAATTTTTAATTTTGCGCTCGTTTGCAATGCTTTTTGTGGCAAGTATAAACCAGGCTTTATGCATTTAATTAATTACAACATGTACATAACGCATGCATAAGTGAGCAAGCTATACTTACTCCATTATCTCACGAGAGTACAACTTCTCATCATTCTCGTCATCATCTTCAGAATCAGTATCAACATCAACAAGTTTAGATAAAGTATCCAGAGGATCAGGAGCCAACTCATCAATGATTGCTTCAATTCTACCCTTCCTTTCAGGCTTCTGTGTTTGCTGGAAATCATACATAAATTTCTGAGAAGACAAAGAGTGGAAGAGAGAGAGAATAATTAACATTGTAACAATAACAGTATAAGTCTAAAGTGATAGTGTGCTAACCTGAAGTTTGACATAAAATTTGAAACGGTAAAGCAGTTCCATAACTTCAAGTGCCCTATTATATAGCATTTAAAATTTTAAGCAACTAAATGAAAAACAGCATCTTACTTGACTTTAACATCAAAAACACCTTTATTCTCAGGCATATCCTTCTTACGGGCAGAACTTTTAAAATCCACTTGGGACATCGACACTACATACATGTACATGTACATGATGTACAAACAGCATTTTAACATTTTTATCATATTTTGTCACTTTTACTTTTTCTTTCTGAGGGTAAATCTGTTTCACCATTTAGCAACTTAGTGAGTGGACCCAAAAGTTCATCCACATCTTGAACATCATCATAATATCCATAACGAACCAAGTGTCCCAGAACATCCAACACAATTTTCAATAAGGAATTCTCTTTAGATTCACAACGGAGATTCTGAAGTGAAAATTAATTACACATTAAATAAAAAATAAGTTTAAATGCACAATTATTCATGTTCACCATTGCAATATAAACTCAATGACATACTGTGTTATTGGAGATTGTGTCCAGTATCCAGTCATTAAGAGCAGGAAAGTGTTCATTCTCTGCTCCAGTTAATGCCTTAACTTGGCTACCACCAGACTCTGAATAAGGAACTGGTACTAGATCATCATACACCTGTGAAATTGCATGTAAATTTGTAAATGTGCAAGTGT